AGCGATGGCCTCCACCTAGTAGCGTCCTTGTTACTAGTAGCTTCTTGTCCCACATGTTGTAATTTAAAGGATAATCCTTCTCTCGGATTTAATTTTGAATTCAACAGAATTGCATTTTTTAGGATTCTGAATGATTCTGACATGGCTGGCTCAGTTCTCACGCGATTGATCACAAAATAAATATGCTGGTAAGCTGAGCTGTCATGGTGCTTTAGCTGGCATCATCTGGCGTCGTCTTTCGGTCAAAACGGGTGCATTCGGCCACGAATCCGGAGCTGGGGAACTGGGTTGAAAACTCCTCAAAACGGTGCTTTCTTTCTTCCTTTTCCTTTCTTTGTTTCGACTAGCGATGGCCTGCAACAGCATCTCGTTCCCTAAACCCCTTCGCTGCCTCAGTGCCATGGCTCACCCAGATTGGGCCGAAATGGCGCTGAGCTGACCGGCCAAATGGAGGTCAACAAGGAGGAGCTCCGCAGAGTCGCGAGTCCGGAACATCGCCCCCCTCGAGCTTTGGAGTATCACTTGGCCCTTTCAGGTTCACCAGAGTTCAGACTTCATCCATGAAAGCAACTTCAATCGATGCAAACAAGGCAAATGGCAAACGTCGAACACTGGCAATGCCCGGCATGCTGCAAATGCTAACATTATGGGACCTAGGACAATGAATGCTGCGAATGCCCACTTTGTTGGGGATGATGCGGTCCTTTGCTATTATATATTGGGTCGATCATATCCTATTTACCTGTAACAGTGGATGATGACGGTCAGTAAAGGCCTTCTTCCAAAATAGTGACAATTGTTTTCCTGATTGTTACGAGTCATAGGACAGACCCCTATTAGAAACACCAGAATGCTCAACCTTTGGGACCCGAGCTGAAGGAACACGTCTGAGCAGGTCTCGGGTCTTGAACCTACTCGTCCTCTTCGGTGGAAGACTGTTCGTTTGTTAGACCTCTTCGAAGGTTTGCTCTTTCCTCCTGGGAAGCCTGCATCTTGAAAGCAAACAGGGGTGGAAAGAAACCGGACTCTTCTCTGTTTAGCACATATTCACATATTGAGGATCTCCAGGACAGCTTTCTTTCATCTGCCCTCGAAGCACGTCGAGTCCGGCCATCGATCCCGTTTGAGCTGACCAACTTTCTTGCGGAGCTTGCCACCTTTGCCACCTTTGCCGTGTCTCCTGCGAACCCGTCGGAGAGTGCAGACTCAGACGGTTCCGTCCATCGTAAACGCGCGGGAACTGCAAGCGACAGTAGAACTGACATGGAAGTGGAATATGGCCTTTCAAGGGGCTACTAGGAACAAGAAGCTACTAGGGGCTCCTGGCATCGCTACTAGGAGCAAGGACACTACTAGGGGCTCCTGGCCTTACTACTAGGAGCAATGTTCGCTAAGGCATCGCTACTAGGAACCTTCCAAGGGGCCATGTTCCACTTCCATGTTAGTGCCAGGGAGGTCTGCCAACTCGGCCGACTGGAATCTGGCGGATTTCATTTGAATTGTCCGAGAGAAGTGAACATACCCTGTCCATCCCTGTCCTACCCTTCCATTCCTCCAAGCACCTCCTCGATTGAGAGCTGATCCAGAAAAACACCAATTTTATCCTGTGGAGCTGAATGGAACTGAACATGGTGTTTCTTTCCCCGAGCCCTGATTTCAAGGCAGCACCTGGTCCACCTCACTTTTGCGCGGTCCCCTCTCCACTCCACCCCTCTCCACTCACCCAAAACGACCCACCGTGTCGGTCACGGACACACCGGGACCCGACGCGTGGAGGCGGCCAGGCGTGGCGTCCGCTCCTTTTGGTCCATTCCCAGCCTTTTCCGCTGTAAGCAATCAGCATCTGCAGACCGATCCGCGACCGGCTTTCCGGAGCGACGTCTTTTGGCTGTCGGCGGGTCGGCGGGTCAGATTGGGGGACTGCAGTCGAGGTCGACGAGCGGGCGACAGCCGGTCCAGCGGTCGTGAGGTTCCTGGGAAGTTCGCTGGTTTGAGCATGATCCGAGGACGTTCCGAGGACATGCACTGCTTTGGTGTCGTTTTCCATCATACCCAAATCCGTCATCGACCCATTGACCGTTCCCAGATGGAATTCTTCCCCTCAAGACATCGGAAGAACATGTTTCCCGCCTTTGCGGTGAGTCCCATGGATGGTTGCGGTGTGAACAAATCACATGCCTAGGCATAGCGGTCGGAAAGAGCACCAAGGCAAGTGTAAACTGGACATGGAAAGACCTCAGTTCTCCATCTTTCAGTCAACCTTCGCTCGGGTGCCCGGTGCGAGCCTGATGATGGCTCGTGAGGTTCAGCGCTGCCAGAAGCGGGGACCTGGTTAGGGCGGGTGCTATGAAGCCGGAGAGCAACTTTTCCCTCAGAATGCCCGTGGCTGGCAAACACGCATTCCAAGAAACAAGTTTAATTCACACCTCTCGACAAGCTGACCCTTGGGTGCTCTTGTATCAAAGCAGTGAAGTTTATGAGTTTATGGACATCACAGGGTCATATTCCATCAGGTTCCACTGCCTCAGGGCGGGTATCAGGGCGGGCCTCCTCAGCCTACTCACTGGGCCCTCGCACTCTCGTGAAGAAAGCACACCCATCCCGGCGGTTTCGGGGCGTGGAAAACGAACTTTAAATGTTCTTCCTTTTAGAAAGCGTTTGTTACAAGTAGCTACTAGTAATGCCAGGAGCTACTAGTAGCTTCTTGCTACTAGTAGCGAAAACTTTCCCCTATGTTCCCCTCAATCATCAGGTTAGAAAGGACACAAAGTCTTTTGGAGTGTTTGTGACTTGGGGACAAGTACTGGGACAAGTGGTACGATCCATCATGGATTCCTCTTCATGAACTCCAGCTCACGCATGCTAACGCCATGCCGTGCTCACCCTGCCAGGCACCATGTGCTCACCTTCTTCACCTTCTTCTCCAAGAAAAATCACGCAAACCACACCATCCACAGACTGTGGACATGCGTTCAAACCGACCACGAGAACCGACCACGTCACGCGAACTGCCCTGCCATGCCATGCCTTCCCCCGAACACCGGTCCCTACCCCCGTCTGGGCTGGACTCACTTCCGACAGGGCGGGCCACGGGAGTCCTCGCCACGAGGCGTGGTGTTCGGATGGGTCGAGCCACGATCGATGTCGATGTGGTTGGGAAATCCGAAGATTGGCCCATCACGTGGTACCATGGTGAACATAGCCAATGGGAATCAGCTGAATGGTGAATGGTATTGTCATGTATTGTCAGTTTCAGATCATAATTCTGAACCCTGGCCACTAACCAGCCAGAAACCATTCACCATGCAGCTCTCTCTCTCTCTCTCTCTCGCACAGCAGGTGTCACCGCGGCGATCATTCATTGAAGTGCGCCTTGTCGAAGTGGTTTGATCGGCGTGTCGCAGCCGTCACGGGTGCTTTGCTGTCACCTTTCTCACGTCCACATGGATACGTACCACGCATGATACCAATACCCAAAGCGTCCGTCCATGGCCCGTCCGTGAGTTTCCAACGGCTGCCGTCCGTCCACAACTCCGTCCGGCTGCACGGGCGCGACGCGCGGCGACGCCGAGCCTCGGCCGCATCGTGAGCCTCTGCAGCTCCCAGGAACCTGGTGGAGCGGTGCTGGAGCACCAGGAGTCCATCCTAAAAGGCCATTGCTTTTAGGTTGGAGGCCATTGCTTGTAGGTTGGAGGCCATTGCTAGTAAGTTGGAGGCCATAGCGAGTAGGTTGGAGGCCATGGCTTTTAGGTTGGAGGCCATCGCTAGTAGGTTGGAGGCCATTGCTTTTAGGTTGGAGGCCATCGCTAGTAGGTTGGAGGCCAT